ACTTTCGCCTCCTGATGATGGTGAGATGGCCCTAGTAGTTCTGACACCAGCCAGACCCAAGACCTGACCTTGACTACTCACCTATTTGTGCTCAGCCTTAACTCAGGTCTCTTAACTCAGGCAAGAGACCTGAAGGAAACCAAAGCTACACTTCAAGCAGGAATGACTGCCTGGAAGAAGAGCTCCACAGGCCCAGACCGCCCAAACCAGTCTGAACTTAACAGGGCCTTCCCTCAAGTGTATAATATACTATTGTTAGCTATAATCACCTTGCTGCACAGTAGGTCTCCGGAACTTATTCATCTCACAAAAAAGTGTGCACCCTTCAACTAACAAAGATCTTTTGATTCAAGTCATTTACACAACACATATTTGCCCTTTGTGCCAACTCCCCCCACACTTGAAATTTGCTCAGAGTAGATATCCTAAGTGTTCTTACCAAACACACACACACACACACATGCACACAGTAACTATGTGAGGTGATGGATATATTAATTAGCTTGTTTGTGGTAATCATTACACAATACATATCAAAGCAGCATGTTGTATATCTGCTATGGTCTGAATGTTTGTGTGTCCCCCCAAATTCATGTGTTCAAATCCTAGTGCCCAATGTGATAGTCTTAGGAGGTGGGGGGTTCATGCTTACGTTGTGAAGGTAGAGCCCTTATGAATGGGATGAGTGCCCCTGTAAAAGAGAGCCCAGAGAGCTAGCTTACCTCTTCTGCCATGTAAGCTTACATCTAGAAGGCACAGTCTACAAACTAGGAGATGGATTCTCACCAGACACTAAATCTGCTAGTGCCATGACCTTGAACTTCTCAGCCTCCAGAATTGTGAGAAATAAATGTTTGTTGTTTATAAGACACCCAACTGAAGGCATTTTTTTGTCATAGGAGCCTGAATGACTAGGACAAGACCTTAAATATGTTCAATTTTTATTTGTCAATCACACCTCAAAAAAGCTGGAAAATACATTTAAAAAAGGAACTTTGAAGATATGTGAAAAGGCTTCCAACAGACTTAATTTAATCTCACTCAATTTAAAAGAAGGCCGATAAGCATATTCAGTGTTTTTTTAAGAATGTGATGACAACTTGTCTTATTGTAAGGATTCTTGTATTTAAAAAAATATTATACCATACCATGCTGTACAGACATTAATAATAATTGTTATGGTGTCATTCTTCCTTAAGCAGAATTCCTGCTGTGAGCTCAGAACTGAATTCTAGTCCTGGCTTCATTTCATACTGCCATTTCATCATTTAATCTCAGTAAGTCTCATTAATCTCTATCTGCCTATCCCACGTAGTTAAAAAGACTAAATGAGATGGCATATTTTTTTTTAAAGATTTTATTTATTTATTTGACAGACAGAGATCACAAGTAGGCAGAGAAGCAGGCAGAGAGAGAGGAGGAAGCAGGCTCCCTGCTGAGCAGAGAGCCCGATGCGGGGCTCGATCATGGGATCATGACCTGAGCCGAAGGCAGAGGCTTTAACCCACTGAGCCACCCAGGCGCCCCGAGATGGCATATTTTTAAATGGTAAAGGTTTTGATCAATCAGTTATTTAAAAATTGTATCCGTATTATAATTTAAGAAGCTCAGCATCTCCCGTTCCCTTACCTTCAAATTCCAATTTATCTGCCTTTCTCAAGCCACGGGCTGCTGGGGCCTGTGGGCAGTTGGGTTTGAATGAGGCCCTGAGTTCTTTGGAAGTCACAGCTCAGGGGACTGCCATAAGGACTACTCTACTGTGCACCTGTCCAGCTCCTAGACGTGTGTGTGAGGAGGCAGGAGTGGGAGGTGAATGGGCAGGAAAGTAGCTTGGAAGTTGCTGGTCCCCAGACAACCGTGGAATTCTCAGTGGAGGCATTGGTTTAGCACTGTGTGGAATTCTGGAGATTTGCCGGCCCCTTAGAGCTAAAAAAGGGGTTGTAGAACTTATCCCTGAGCTGAAACTTCGGAGAGATAAAGGAGCAGGAAGATTTCCTCCAGGTCCTTTGGCAAGTGGCAGCAGCCTGCTTCCTTCATTTGATACCATTGGCCCCTGAGGGATAAACACCACTGGGCCTTCCACTGTTGTTTCACTGCCATCATTTAGAGTACTCTAAATGTGGAGCTTCATGTGGACCCCTAAGAAAAATGACTGCTAAGAAAAAGAAGTTCAGATAGGACAAGGAGAATGCATATCCAGCAAAATAGAACCATTAAAGGGGCTCACTGTCACCCTTACAGATCCATTACACCGTGCTGTCTGGACTTCTAACTGCTCTAGCGGCTGCATTTCTTTGCCTGAGGGCTTTTTCTAACCACCAGAGCCTGCCTTCCTGCTCACAGGGCAGACTGGGGCATAGGCTCCAGGAACATGATGAAACCAAGAACTGCTGAAAGTAAGTATATAAATCCCCATCTCCTCACCCCTTCAGTTGAATAACTCTGCAATGTGTGTTTTACCCGGGTCTCCAGAATTCTTTAGTGGGATCAGCTCCAGTTACCTACAGTGCTGACTTCCTTGATAAAAAAGTTCCTTTCTGACTCCCTTCCTTGCTCTACCATGCTTTCCTAGATCACCTCCCATGTAAACTACTTGCACTCAAATCCTCATCTCAGGGCCTGCTTCTTAGGAAACCCAAACTAAGACTCGTAGTGTGTCAGGGGGCTTGAATAAAGCAAACAGAATACTCCTGCCTGTGCTCCCATACTTGACTCCCAGAACACTTCCAGTTTGGTCTGGAAGGATTTTCTCTTTAGAGAATTTGACCCACTGGAAAGAATGACGGACAGATACTGATGTCATGTGTTCCCAACTAACAGCCCAGCCAGGTCACCCTACAGAGAAGCCCTCAAGAAACAAGTTCCACCTTCATGCTGGAAGCTTCCAATCAGCTTTTATAGCACTTAACTCCAGTTTTTTAGTTATGTACTTTAAAAAAAGATTTTATTTTTATTATTTATTTGAGAGAGAGAGAGAGAAAACACATGAGTGAGGGGAGGGGCAGAAGGAGAGGGAGAGGCAGGCTCCCCACTGAGCAGGGAGCCTGATGTAGGGCTTGACCCAAGGACCCTGAGATCATGGTCTAAGTGGAAGGCAGATGCTTACTGACTGAACCACCCAGGTGCCCCTAGTCATGCTCTCTTAAGTGTGAGTGAATACTTGAAGACTACCAGAAAACTTCCAATATGTTAGATGGAGACCTAATTAATAGCAAAACACAGCTGAGAGGAAGAAGAGACTATTCAGGAAGAAGATGTATTGTGTTTGTGGTTTTCCTTTTGTTTCGTTTTTTTGTTTTTTGGGGTTTTTTTAGAGAGGGAGAGAGAGAGAATCTTAAGCAGGCTCCATATCCAGCTCAGAGCCCCATGCAGGGCTCGACTTCACAACCCTGAGATCATGACCTAAGCCGAAATCAAGAGTCAATTACTTAGCCAACTGAGTCATCCAGGTGCCCCTAAAAATGTTTTGTTAATATCTTCATAGGGATAAGAAATCTATGAAGCAAGGCTATGACACCATAATGAAGAGACATTTGAAAGATGAAAGAAAGCTCCAGAAGAGTAAAAACAGTATAGATGGCTGGAAGAAAAATTTGTGTTCTCCAATAAAGAGAAAAAAAAAGATGGAGGGGCGCCTGGGTGGCTCATTGGGTTAAGCCTCTGCCTTCGGCTCAGGTCATGATCCCAGGGTCCTAGGATCCAGCCCCACATCAGGCTCTCTTCTCCTCAGAGAGCCTGCTTCTCCCTCTCTGCCTACTTCTGCCTACTTGTGATTTCTCGCTCTCTGTCAAATAAATTTTAAAAAAATCTAAACCCCCCCCCCCCAAAACAAAGATGGAAAACAGGAGAGTAAAATAGATGGTAAAAGGGCTCTCACATCACATTTGGGCTTGAGTATACATCAGAAGCTGATATAGGGGAGCTATCAAAAGATAAAAGACTGCAACCTATTCATATCTGAACAAAAGAAAATAAAATTTGGACAGTTGTATAGGCCAAGAATGGAAGTAGAGGTCCTGCTTAGGCAGTTCTTGTAGTAATGAGGAGAAAATATAATGAGCACCTGATGTAAAGACAAAGGACATTTGGACAGAAATTTAGAAAAAGATGAGAGATTAAATGGTAGAATGAACTGAAGTTGTGGCTGAGCGGGTGTGGGGGGAGGTTCCTGTGGACCTGCTGTAAAAGGCGGTTAAAGAACGGATGGATCTAGATTTTTCTGCAAGATCCTAAATGGACTGGGCTCCATTAAGCAAGATGAGCAATCAGCTAGGACCAGTAGGTTGGAGTGGTGTGTAGGAGGTAGAATGCAAATTCCTGAGTTCGAGTTCAATCAGTATTTTCTCACTAAGTGTCAGATATTGGGATAAAAAGTTTTGTCTGGGTCGCCTGAGGAAAGGCAGAGGTTAAGTCGCAAGCAAAAAGGCAACTCCCTTCAGGTGTTTGTAGTTAAAGGAGGTACAGCTTTTGGCCTGGAGGGGATGGGGTCGACAGTGAATGTTTGTGCAGGATACTTGGTGACAGGAACTGTAAATGCACGCTTGCGCAGGACCGCCTCTGGGGGTCTGCCCTGCAGAAGTACGAGCGCTTCCGCAGTCACCGAGAAGACGCTCAGACCACGCCAGACCCTAGGAGCTTGATCTCCGAGTCTACCAGGAAAACCTGAGTCCTCTGGACTTCCTAGTAGTGCAACGGAGGCGTGGCGCGCATGCGCGTGACCACACCAGGGCTCGATCAAAGGCGGCGGGAAGTTGGTTTTCTGAGGAGCAACTGAGCCGCTTGAAGACGGATTGGAGATGACAGACCAATAAACAAACATTTCATTGGCTTAGTGTGCTCAGCCTCCCGATTCTCCAGCTTCCTATTGGACCTTTCAAGCAGAGTAGGGGCGTGACTCCCGGGGCTCCTCCCCGCGCTCTGGCCCAGCCTCGGGGTCCGGGGCTGAGGGAGCGGGACGGAAGTGAGTGGGTCCCGCCCCTTCCCCCTCTGGTCTTCGCTGGAGCCGCCGCTGCTGCCACCGCTGCCCCCTATCCGGCGAGCCGGAGTCTCCGTGCCGTACCCTTGGTCCCCGGCCGCGCGGAGCCGGGATGCACTGCTCCTGCTGTGGGTCCTCATCATGGAGACCAAACGGGTGGAGATTCCCGGCAGCGTCCTGGACGATCTCTGCAGGTACCGCGGCGCTGCCCCTGCCCCCTTCGTCCCCTCCTCGTTTTCTCTCACTTTGGCCGACCACGGAGGCCTCCGCGTCCCCCCCCCCCCCCCATCCTTTTCCTCCCTTTCCGGTCCTGCCGCTGCTCGCTTTCCCCGTTCGACCCTTCTCTCGGACGATACTACCCCTCTCTCTCCGCTGCAGCCTCTGGGTTTCTCACGGCCCCTCCGTCCTTCTTCGCTGGGCCTCGGAATTTCCTCATTTTCTTAGTTCCCCAAACTCTTGTTTTCCTGCAAGTGATGCCGCTGCGCCAAAGCCAGGGTCTGGAGCGTTTGTTTTTTTTTTTCCCCCGGCTGCCCCCTCCCCCTCCCATTGTTTTTTTTTTCTGCCTCTGACTTTTATAGACCGTTTCCCCCCTCCTCCCTCGGTCTCAGGCCTCAGTTCTGTCCAAGATCCCAGGGTTTTGAGTCTTAGTAGTCCCACGCCCCCGGATCTAAGCAGGGAAGCGTTTTCAAACTTAACCTTTCGCGGGTGCGTTCTCACGCGTCCGTGGCATTTTCTAAATTGCTATAAGGAATTACTGTCTTGTTCATTCCCAAACTTATCATTGGAGGGGGGTGGGGGATAGAGAGTTGCTCTTTTTTTCCCCCAGTCTTTAATTTTCCTTACAGGAAATTCTCAACCGCAGTGCTTTAACTCATGGTATACTTTTAGAAATTTGTTGCTTTCTTCCCTCTTGTTAGCGATGATTTCAGATAGCCAAACTTAAGGAAAATATTTTCTTGTTCCGAAATAAAATTTTTGGTGCAGTAATACCCTGTGTTGTTGCCGGCTAGTTGGATTGTGAAATAAATTACAAATGAGTAAAAGGTTCTGATAAAATAGCACCTTTCAAGTACAATTAATTACTGTATTTACGTTTAGAAGTCTGACTTTTTAGAGAAAAAAATTTTTTTAAGATTTTATTTATTTGTCAGAGAGAGAGAGGGAGAGAGAGCAAGCACAGGCAGACAGAATGGCAGGCAGAGGCAGAGGGAGAAGCAGGCTCCCTGCCGAGCAAGGAGCCCGATGCGGGACTCGATCCCAGGACGCTGGGATCATGACCTGAGCCGAAGGCAGCTGCTTAACCAACTGAGCCACCCAGGCGTCCCTAGAAGTCTGACTTTTAATAGTTGTGTCGCCTTCACGCCTTTTTTATTTTTATTTTTTTAATGGGAAGGAAAGAACTAATACTTGTGGAGGTACTTACTGTTGTGTGCTAGGTATGGGGTGCTCCCTGCACGTATATCATATTATTTAATCCTTGAAACAGCTCCTATTTGGTGCAGTTATTTTCATTTTCATCTGATAGGGTTGGTTTGTAATTTACACAAGGTCACATTTCTTGTAATTCAGAAAATCAAGATTTGAAACCTGAACCCTTTCCCCTACAGTGTCTGTGCTTTTTCTCCTATGCCAGGTAGACGTTACAGAAAGTCAAGTCTAACATTTTAAACCTCGCAAAAAGTACGTGTAGATAACTAAATAGACTGATTTTGGAACTAAAAAGAATTAATGTTGCTGTACTTTTTTGGTGATGCTGTGATTATAATTTTTGAAATATCGATTCAGACAAACACAAAATGCACTTATTGTCTATGATCCCAGTTTCATAAGAAAAGAGATTTAATGAATATTTATCTGTGTAGATGAACATATACAAGAAGTGAGATGATGATTTTTATTTTTTTACTGATATTTTCAAGACTTTTTTAAAGGATGTGTATTTTATAGTTAGAAAAAAAAGTAAAGATGAGTATGTGTTTTTTAAAAGGTGAGCAGTAATTATGTATGGATTAGTAGGGATATAGGTTAATAAAAAGATGGGTAATCTCACACTTTTTACAGGCATCTAAAATAATCTTCCTACTAGTATGGGTTTATTTTGATTTACAGAGGATTACATCATTGAAAGAAGCCCTGTTAACCATTATGAAGGTGATTGATTTTATGTGGAACCTGTTTACTCAAAATTGTTGTGTTTTGTAAACAATATGTTAAACATCTGTTTAGTGTTACAGGTTCTTGGTTTTCTAGTGAGTTTAAGCAATTTTATACAAATCTTTTGGAATAGGGTAGCATTTTTTTTTTTTTTTTTTTGCTTTAAGAAACAAGAGTAACTTTTTTTTTTAATTAACATATAATGTATTATTTGCCCCAGGGGTACCGAGAGTAACATTTTTGTAATTACTGTGTTTTGGCTACATAAATAAGGATTATATGTTTAAAAATTAGGGCTGTCTACTTGACTAATAAACCAAATAACCATTTCTTAAAACTTCCAAGTTTTAAAAATCCTTCCATTTTAAAGTTCATATTTATAATATTTTTGATGGTTAATTTAAAGAATTTTAATGTAAATAATTCAGGCTGTTATAATTGTGGGGTTTTTTAAGAAATAAATTTACTAGGAATTTGTGTTTAATTTCTATAAAAATAAAGCTTACGTGGAAAAAGGTTAATTTTTCTGCTCTTTTAAGTACCTCTTGATTTATGTGTTTGGTTTTGACTCTTGTTTTTATGTATTCCCTGATTCTGTTGTTTATTATTAGTATATTTAAGAAGTTTGTGTTGTGTTCTCGATTTCTGATAAATTACATATTCCAGCTAATCTTGTCTACTTCAGTCATTGATCATATAGTAATACATTTGGAGAAATGTAAAATTGAGAATGATTTTCATGTGGAAAATTAGAGGAGGAGACTTGCATTCTCAAGAAGTGACTCTATAGCCTGCTTTTAACCTAAGACATGCGATGTTATTTTGCAGATGGTTTCGTATGCAATATTTCATTTACTGGGACACTGTGCAGCCATTAGGCATTCCTAAGGCAATTAGCAAACAGTAAACTGAAAGAAAATATTTGTGGCTTGAAATGATGTATACAGTATACTATTGAACATAATACATAGTCATTTGATGCCTTTTGTTAAAACAAATTTTTAAGTGTGTGTGTGTGTGTGTGTGTGTGTGTATGCACAAGGAATGTCTGAGAGTATATACACCAAACTGAAAAACACTAGTTATTTCTGGGTACAATGAAATTAGAGAGGAAGGAAAGACGGTCGTCTGAAATGTTCTAGTGAACATTCTAGTAAACTTGTATGTAAAAAGTCAGTCTGCCCCATTTTATGGTGATACTTGCCTTTGTTGCACCATGATTTTGACATTAAAAGTCAAAGAATTTTTCAGTACCATTTAAGTTAGCTTATTAAATACTTGAAAAACACGTTTTTAAAGTAAAAATTGAAAACTACAGCTTGTTACGCTTTTAAAGAAATGCTTGGAGTTTTTTTAAAACCCCTTTAAGAATTAAATGGTGAAGCCACTCTCCTGGTATGTTCTGGCAACTAATGTTGCTGCTATTTTGGTGATTGTGTAAGCTAATCAAATAATTCTTGCTCATCTTCAGGTTGCCATTTTAGTGTTCATCATTAAATGATGGTTCATCACCATTTTAGTGTTCCATCATTAATGTACTAATTGTAGTTCTATTAATGTTCCATCGGTAGGAAAATTGAAAAGATGACATTTTGTGAGGTGGAGAAATTTTTCCCATAACAAATTATGGAGAAAAGCATTTTATTTCATATATACTATGTGTACACACTTCTCTTTTTTTTAAGTAATCTTACACACAATGTGGGGCTTGAACTCAAGACCCCAGATTTAGTTGAGTGCTCCTCCAGCTTAGTCAGCCAGGCATCCCTGCGCACACTTTTAAATCTTTAAAACAGATAAAAAAAATTCATAGAATGAAAGCATCAAAGTGTAATTTTCATTTATTAAAATTTCTTTCTTTTTTTTTTGAGAGCGAGTGCATGCTTACAGCGCTGAGGGGCATGGGTGAGGGAGAGGGAGATAGAATCTTTTTTTTTTTTTAATATTTTATTTACATATTTGACAGGGAGAGCAGCAGAGGGAGAGGGAGAAGCAGGCTTTTGGGTGAGTAGGGAGCCTGATGATGGGTTTCATCCCAGGACCCTAAAATCATGACCCCAGCCGAAAGAGGCTTAACCAACTGAGGCACCCAGGTGCCAGGGAATCTTAAGCAATCTCCACAACCAGCCTGATGGCAGGGGTTCATCTAACGATGTTGAGATCGTGACCTGAGTTGAAATCAAGAGTCTCTTGCCTGGGTGGCTCAGATGGTTAAGCATCTGCCTTTATTTAGCTTGGGTCATGATCCCAGGGTCTTGAGATGGAGGCCCCAGTCCGGTTCCCTGCTGAGCCTGCTCTCCCCCTCTCCCTTTACTGCTCCCCCCTGCTTGTGCTCTCTCGCTCTCTTCCTCTGTCAAATAAATTAATAAAATCTTTTAAAAAAAGAGTCCGTTGTCACTAAGCAGAGTGAGTCACCCAGGAGCTTTCCTTTTTCTTACAAAGTGTTTTAAAGAAGTCAGTTTTTCTTTTTTTTAAGATTTTATTTATTTATTTGACAGATAAATAAGCGTGAGCTTGCAGAAGCAGGGGGAGTGGCAGGCAGTGGAAGAAGAGGTTCCTGCTGAGCAGGGAGCCCAAGCCTAGTGCGATGCAGGGCTCCAGCCCAGGACCCTGAGATCCTGACTTGAGCCAAAGGCAGATGCTTAACCAGGCTGGTCACCCAGGCTCCCCAAGAAGTCAGCTTTTAGTTTTAAAAAGATGTATTCATGTTAAGGTTAAAAAAAAAAAAAAAAGTTGAAGAGTATGGGTGAAGTTAGAAAAGCAGCAGTCTCCTGTCCTACCCCTTTTTATCTCAGTTCTGCTCTCCAGACTTTTAACCCGGTTTGTGTTGAATTCTTCTGGTAGATAATTTAGTATTTTAACATATACTTGGACTAGTTTCTTGCTTTATCAACTTCAGATGTTGGATTGAGAATTTAGTTAACCTTGGTTGATATTAGGTGAGGGTTTAGTTTATCAAAAGCCTACTGATGCCTTTGCCCTACTTCCAATAGTTATATCACTATTTTAAATTGTTATATTGGTTACCTTTCTGCTTTAT